CGCTGGTTCTGGGTGAAGTCCTCCACACGCAGCGTGGCTGACATGATGAGCAGCTTCAGCGGCTGGTGCTTCTGGGGGTGGCAGTGGCTCAGTGACGGGCGAGGGCAGCTCTCCTGCAACCCCTCCACCCACCCCTCTGTCCTGTTTCTGATTTCCAAGGACCCCTTGTGAGACGGTAGCAGGATTGTTCTCTCCTGGGGTAGCGGCTTGATCAAGGAGCAATGCTCCCGTGGGGGATCGGGAGGGACAGTGCCTCTTGGTTTCAGTGGAGAGGAGGAGGGCATGGAGTTTAAGGAGCTGAGACTAGGACAGGGCTCTTTACACTGAGTCTTAGTCCTGGTACTGGGGGGCCCCAAGTCTTTGGGGAACCTTCTCAGCAACAGCCTGGGGGTCAGCAGTGGCCTGGGGACCGAAGGATCACCTTTGCCCGGAGGGTCACAATGCGGGACAGAAGGCCGATGAGAATGTCGGTGTACACACTTCTCTCGTGAGCCTCGTCGATGATCACCACCTTATACTTCCGCAGCAGGAAGTCCTGGGGAGGAGGCGGGTGCAGGGGTCCTCTTCAGGCAGTGACCCTGAGAGGTTGTGCCTGAGCCACCCGCTGCAGGAGCCCCCTGGACACCTTCGGGTGGGGGGGGGGCACGTCTGTCTCATCTGCCACTCAGGAAGCCCAGGCCCCGCTGACGCTAGCACCAGTCAAGGGCTTGCTCCGCAAGGACTTGGCAGGAGAGCAAACCTGAGCAGCTGTCCCACAGGCCGAGGGAGCAGGTGCCTGAGGGGGGCACAGCTCAGTTTTCAGGCACGGCCCCACAGGCCAAGCAGGAGAGCAGGCACACCAGGGGGCACCCATGCCTCAGAGCCACCAAGCATCAGAGACCAGGACTAGCAGCGAGCTCTGAAGGCAGCAAGGGGCCGGCGAGGAGGAGGAGGAGGAGGAGGAGGAGCGGGAAGGGACCTACAGGGAGGATGTGGAAGGAGGGATTTACGTCATGGGGGCTGCAGTCATTGCCAGCAAACAGAATGTTCAGGACTGCTGATGGAGAGGCAAAGGGCTCTGCCCAACCCACCGCACATGGTTCACACAAGAGGTGTGCCTGTTTACAGAAAAGGGCATCCAGACCCCGAGTCCCATACCTGGGCCTTGGGCACATACAGGGATGTCACCCAGGAGGTCTCAAACTAAGCTTTTATGGAACCCTAATGCCACCCCTGTGCAACCTGGGAGTGGGCAGTACTTCCACAAGGTTCCAACTCCCCAGCAATCTCCTGGGGGAGGCCGCAGCCCAGTGTGCCTTTTCCTGTCCTGAGCGCCCTGAAACCCCAGGAAACCATGTGTGGGGCCACACCTCCACCCCCAGGTGGCCATGCGTGGGGCTACTGCCCAGGTCTTCCCCCATCCCCCCGACCGGGTCTCACAGTGACGCCAGCGCTGACACGGGGGTGTCCCCCAGTCCCCCCCTTCCCCCGTCCCAGGCCCGGCCCTCATAGCAACACACCTTCTGGATCTCTTTCAGCAGCACGCCGTCCGTCATGAACTTGATCCTGGTCTCCTCAGTCACGTTGCCTTCGTACCGGATCTGATAGGAGACCACCCTGGGAGGAAAGGCAGGGGCTCAGGCCTGGCTCTGCTAGGCAGGGAGCCCCACAGAGCCCAGCGCCCCTCAGGGCAGGTGGGGCTTGGGGCATGGGAGTTGCTTCCAATGAAACCAGACTTGCTCCCATGGCGCTGACCACGGTGCTGAGAGACCCCGCAGTATAGGGTAGAACTCCCACTGTGGGAGTCTGAGACTGCAAGTCTGTATGGGAGCAGACTGTAAGTCTTTCTTCCACGGAGCAGCTGGTGTGCTTGAACTGCCTATCTTGTGGTTCATAGCCCAAGGCATTACCACGACACCAGTGCTCCTTGAGAAGCTGCCTGGCAGTATAGCCACCTGAGCCCAGGCCTTATTGGGGCTGGGTCTGAGGGCACCGGACAGTGATTTGGAACACGGACCAAAGGGCACCAGAGACTTGCTGCTGCATCCAAGTCCACCTTGCCAGTACCGTGGGCTTGGTTGCCGCCCACTGCAAGCAAGCACGCACGCATACACGCGTGGACTGAGGTGAGGAAAGTCACTCGTCCAGGGGCCCTTGGACCCTGCCGGGCTGTTCAAGCCCCCACACATTCTGCGGGAGAAAGATGAGGCTCTCTACCCTATAACGAGCGAGCAGTTGGGGGTGAGGCCAGCCTGGCCAGTGGTGGGCCACGCTCATGCTCATCAAGCTGGTGCCGACTCGCGGTAACCCAAAGGGGCAGGGTAGAACCGCCCTGTGGGCTTGGGAGGCAGGAACGCCGTATGGGGGCAAACAGCCTCATCGTCTTCCCATGGAAAGGCTGGTGGCTTCCGGTTGCCAGTCTGTGGTCAGCAGGCCAGCGTGCAGCCCTGTGTGTCACCAGTGCAGGTAGCGAGGCTGAGCTGAGGGACTGAGCTGTGAGTGTGACCTGCTGCAAGAGCCAGCACTGTGACATGGGGACACTCGTGGCAACCCAGCTCTGAACCCCCAGCCGCTGAAAACCCAGTGGGGGCAGCTGCACCCACACAATGTACGGGCACTGGGAGCCACACGGACACAACGAACAGCCACCTGGCTTTGCTGTATTAATTACAAGACCTCCTGGGTTTGGCCACCACGCCGGTCTGCCCCACCCTTAGGCTTCGGATGGCCCAGAGCACCCAACACTGTCCACCTCCGACCCCAGAAGGGGCCCTCACCGCTGTGATAAGTTCATCTCTTTGGCCACTCGCTGGGACATGGTCATGGCGGCCACTCGGCGAGGCTCCGTGACCCCGATGATGCTGTCGTCGCTGGGGGACAGGGAAAACAGAGACCACATCAGCCCGGCCCCCTGTCAGGAGGAACTGTCAACCACACACACACATACACACACACACCTGCACTGGGGGCCGCTCTAAGCATGTGGCAAGATGACACCCACTTTACAGTGGAGCCAAGAGAGGTGCAGAGGGGCTGGGTAGCTTGCTCCTGGACAGTGTGTACATGGTAGAGCCAGGATTCCACTACAGAGCCACGCTCTCCGAGGCAACTCCCCGCCCCGCTGAAGACCGGGCCTGCTCCCACCTGCTGTAGCCGGCCTCGTAGAGGAACTGAGGGACCTGCGTGGTCTTGCCACTGCCGGTCTCACCGCACACAATGACGATGGGGCTCTCGGCCACGGCCTCCATGATCACTTGCTCCTCCGCCAGAATGGGGAGCTTCAGCCGCTCCTCCTGGTGGGGCAGGGAGACAGGGACCTCGCTGACTGGATATGGAAACGGATGGGGCACAGAGGGCCACCAGGTGCACAGGAAAACCAGGCAGAGCCACAAGAAAACAGTGGGGCCAGGGCTGGACCTCAGGTGAGCAGTGTCCCTGTCTCAGCCTCCCATCTCGGCTGCGATCAGGCTGAGGGGCCCTGCACCTTCTCCGACCTTCTCAGGGGCATTCGGTTTGCAGCCTCCGTGAGACACAGGGCACTAACCCCGTGAGAGCCGGGATAGTGTGTGTGTGTGTGTGGGGGGGGGGGGGGAACAGTGGCGGACAGTGCAAATGCTTCCCCCAAAACAGGAGGAGCGGAGCCACACGGTCACAGGCAGAACACTGGGAGACCCAGGTGGGCACACGGCTGTCCACTGCCCACTGCATGCAGCACTCAGAACACCTCTCTGGTGTCAGGGGGTGGAATTCTCTATTCCCCGCTGCCGCCATCCCGACTCCTACTGACTTTCTGAGACACGGACCACCTGCCCCGGGGAGCTTCCCAGGCTGCCACTGTCTCGTCTCGCCCCTCCCTGCACAGTGACTGGTGGGGTCAAATTGCTGGTCTTCCAGTTAGCAGCCGAGCTCTTAAGCACTGCGCCACCCAACCCCACCCAACCCCACACGTGGAGCCTGACTCATAGCCCCCTGTGGGGCAGAGTCAAACTATCCGATAGCAGCTGCTGTGTGTGAACCATCAACCTTCCGGTTAGCAGCCAAGCTCTTCACCACTCCGCCACCAAATCAAACCAAAGCAATGCCACACGTTGATCTGACTCATAACCCCCTGTAGGGCAGTCAAACCACCAGATAGCAGCTGCTGTGTTTGAACCATCAACCTTCGGATTAGCAGCCTTAACCCCTGCCCCACTGGGTCTCCGCACCTAGAGGGAGGCAGCCCCCTGACCCCCGTCACTGGGGTGGCAGCACACCTGCATCTCGGGGGAGCGGTTCACAGGGACGAAGACGGCAGGCTTCGCCGGGGGCCTGCTGGGGGCTGGGTCTGCGGCTGCAACCGCTGAAGGAGCAGCAGCAGGGGTTCCAGACGGCGTGGACTGGTGGATGGGCGCTGGTTTCTCAGCCTCGGCCTCTGGGGGTTGTGCAGGTGTCCCTGCACCAGCCTCCATTTGCCCCGCCTCCAGGTCTCTGTCATCCTCCGACGCCTCGGAAGACTCTGAATCCTCTTCTTCTGATAGCTGCTGGCGGCGCTTCCGGCCGGCCCCGCTAAGGCTGCTGATCTTGCCTGGACCCTGGGGGGCTCCCTCGTCGGGCTCCCTGCAGAGGGAGAAGAGCATCAGGGGCAGAGGTTGGTTCCAGTGGGGGCCGGTGACACTGCGGCACCTCCTTGCCCCAAGGCCTTTGTTCTTACTACGTCCTGACTGCTGCTCACTCCCCACAGCCCTCCAGGTGCTCAGATGCCACCTGAGGCCTTCCCAGACCGCTCAGCCTACAACACTCACCCCCTCCCGCCTGCCCTACCCGAGCTGCTTCTGGGTACTTCTCAGCTCCCTGCCAGCCAGGCAATGCCGACTCACAGTGACCCTGCAGGGCAATGGGGAACTGCCCCCCTGGGTTTGAGACTCTAGCACTTTATGGGAGCAGAAAGCCCAATCTTTCTCTCCAGTATATCCTAGTAAATCAAAAAGTCCAGCTTAACACCACTGTGTCAATTCTAGACCCTCTTAAGACAACAACACAGGCCCCTTGGGCTTCCGATTCAAATTTCTGATCTGTCTGTGGTCATTTCTTAGAGGAGACGAATCTCCTTGCAATGAATCTGAATACCTTGACACAACAGAAATGCAAGACTCAGGAGGCAGGACAGGGCAGAAAAGAAGGAAGAATTCCTTAACAGCCCATGACAGAGTCTGTGTCCTGTGAGCCCTCCCCCTGGGGGCCCGAGGCAGAGAAAAGGGCCCCAGAAGAGTGCTGGCGGACTCACTCTTTGGTGTAGTACATGCGGGCTCCTGTGCCCAGCTTAGATGTGGTGTACAGGAGCTTCACCTCGGCGTCAGACACCTGCACTTCACTCAGCTTCCTCAGCATCTCTGCTCGCTGTGGCGGGAAACAAGAGTAGTACACGCTTCACACCACGACCGTCTCTGCAGCAGGGAGCGGAGACTCGCACACCGGAGACTCGCACACCGGATTTCAGCCCAGCCAAAGCGGCCGGGAGCCTTAAAAGGCAAACATCTGGATGCAAGTCCTTTGCTGTAGTTTCTAAAGGGTGAGGCTTGGGGTGGCTGTGTCAATGGTGGTGCTTGTCCCCCCAATGTTCTGAAGGTGCTGGGCCTCACGGAGCTGTGCACTTCAGTAAGTGCAGACAAGAGATTTCATGTCAAGGGACGGTTACTTCCCATGGGATACATTAAGGAGAAATACCTGCCATTCTCTAGAATGAAGTTAAAAGGTAAAAGGACCCAAAGTGATCTGTAAAAAATTTAACAAGTGACTTAAACCTTACACTAAACATACCCTCTGACGTGCTCTTTAAAAAATACCCCCCAAAACAAACACTTATTTCGCTTAACTTGTATAAACAAAGTCTGTCTTGAGCATTATGTGGTTAGAAGACCTATCCCTAAGGCTCCAAACTGGCAAAAGCAACCCAAACCTTTGTGTGGACACCTCAGGGGTCAGTGGGTGTGTGTTGGTTGGACAGGAACAGGTCAGACCAGGGTGGTTGGTGAACAGGGCTGCAAAGCTCCCAGAATGTCACCTGGGCGCCTGATGTGCACACGGACACAGCTAGATTGGTGCATGTTCCATTACACACGTTCTCAACAAATAAAGCAAGGTATTCAAAACACAGAGCTAACAAGCACTCCACACGCCTGGACACTCCCCAGACTGAGCGAGACTCCAGCAGCCTCCCCGAGATGGTGAGAAGGCTCCGGAGCGGAGGGTCAGGCATGGTGATCACTGGCCAGCTGGGGCTATTTGAATGGAAGTCAATCAACACTACATAAAAATCTTATTTTCAATGTGTCAGCCACACTGACGTTTTGAGTACTCTGTAGCACAGGGTGCAGACACGGACGGTTTCCTTTATTCTAGAAAGTTCTGTTGAGACAGTCAGCCACACTGCTTTCTATTCTGCACTGTGACACACAGTGTCTGACACACACACCCTGCAGTATCTTCCCACTCTGGGGAGCCCGGAGGCCGACCCTCGGGGGGTGGGGGTGGGGCAGGGTCCTACCTGACTCTTTTTTTCCTTCTGTTCTAGGATTTTCTGCAGGGTTTTCTTCTCTTTCTTGGTCAGGGGTTTCTTCTTCTTCGCCAGGGGCGGGGCTTTGGCCTTCTTCTTCTTCCTCCCCGGGAGCACGAGTGCATTGCTTGCATCAACACCTTTCAGCGTCTCCTTGTCTGAAACGATATGCTTGTGATGTGCTTGTCTCACCCACAGCCCCAGAGTCAAACTGACAATATAGACTGCTCAATGCAGCATCAGGTGACCATCACCGGCCAGGCTCCTGGCCCACCTGTGAGCCTCCTGTATAGAGAAGAAAGGGGCAGGCCTTGGGCAGCGGGAAGCTTGGGGTGTCTATTAGTCAGGATGCTGGCTGGAAGGCAACAGAAATGGCAGCGGGGAGAGGCAGACGGCAATAGGAAACACTCAAATCAGTCCCCATTAACTGAACTCCAACTCCCTGTGAGCATCAGAGTAGAACACTTAGTATGGTGTGCTTAGTACATTTTTTGTTGACCAATTTTTCAGCAACAAGTCGCCAGGCCTTTCTTCTGAGGCACCTCTGGGTGGACTTGAATTGCCAATCCTCTGGCTGGTGGGTGTGCTGTTAACTACTGCATCACCC